CAGTGCGATTGGCACAGGACAGAGCAGAGTTTAGGGCTGTTGTACATAGGGTCGCTATGAGTCACAAGCGACTCGAAGGCACATAAAAAAACAACAAAAGTTAATTAAATTAAATTTTCTTAAAAATTTTTAAGGTCGTGTTCTCATTTTTAATATTTTTTTCTTAAATCTTAACTTAGGGAAGATAAATCTACTGGCATTTGTATTCTATGCCTTATAAATTAGGAACACAAACAATATTTTACATAAGCTGAAAAAAAAACTCTTGCCTTGCTTTAAATAGTTCAAAAAATATGATTCTTTTTTAAATTACTATTTTTTATTATTGGTGTTAGGTATAGTTTAGTTTTCCACATCTCAAAGTGAATGTAGCACAACGAATTTAAACTCTGTTCAGTTCTTCACCATCCTCACAATTTCCAACAGTAAAAGCCCATATTTGCAGTCACTGGATCTGTCTATCAATTGGAGAGTCTTCCTCTCTTTTGCCAGTCCTCTACATTTTCCAAGCATGATGTCTTTTTCCAAGGATTGGCCCCTCTTGAGAACATGAGGAATGTCTGAGAGACAAAATTCCACTATCATTACCTCAAAGGAGAGCATTGTTTGCACTTCTTCAAAGCTGATTTGATCTTTTGGCAGTTCATGGTATATTCAATTCCCTTTCACATAAACACAGTTCGAAGGTGTGGATTATTCTCCTATCTTCATTATTCATTGTTTAACTTTAATATATTTATATGTTACTTATATGTAACTGAAAATGCCAGTGTCAAACACATTTTAACCTTAAACTGATATTTTTGTTATCATTATTTTTAAATACATTTTTATTTTATACTGGTTTGCTTACAAAGCTCATATACATTGTTTTTCACCCTGGATCTTTCTTATTTCATTTAACTTTCCATCTCTCTACCCATCAAATTGTGTGACCCTGTTATCACTCTGAAGAGTTCTCTGACAGTAGATTTTCCTAACGCAATTAGTCTTTTGATTTCCTTACTGCTGATGTCAAGAGTGTTGATTATGAAACTAAGCAAACTGAAATTGTTTACAACCTCAATCTCTTCTCCATTTATCATGGTTCTGCCAATTAGGGCAGTGGTGAGAATCTTTTTATTCTTGATGTTGGTGTCTATTCATACTGCAGACAACAGTCCTTGACCTGCAACACCTCAGGTCCTCCTCAGTTTCAGCAAGCAAGGTTGTTTCAACTGCATAATGCATGTTGCTGATGAGTTTTGCTCCAATCTTGATGCTGCATTCCTCCTCATAAAACCCAGTTTTCTAAATAATATATTCCACATGTAGATTGAAAAGGTATGGAGAAAGGATGCATACTTGACACACTTATTTGTTAATTTTGAACCATGCAGTGCTTCCTTGTTCTATTTTGATAACTGCTTCTTGATCTAAGCTTCACATGAACACAATCAAGTGTTATTGGGTTCCTTTTCTTCTCAATATTATCCACAATTTATTGTGATCTGAAAACCCCCTAGAGGGTCAGCTTTGGGTCATTTCCAACTTTACAAGACAAAACAACAGTCATTAAGATGGGGAAAATCTCAAAAAAAATTATTTATATTTTAAATTGTTTCTGTTACTTGGATTATAAAGGAATATATTAGACAAGCCAAAACCACTGCCTTCAAATCATGGTTTGATTGGTTCCAAATCATGTCCACCTTTCATGAGATGTCAAGATTGTATAAGTTTTTAGGAGGGAAGTACTTTTTTTTATTCCAAAAAGCAAATGAATTTTAACTGCCAAAAGTTGACAGTTGCTTAAAATTTATTCCAACTAACTTGATATTGCTCTAAGGGATTAACCTGGGGTCCATAAAAAGAGGCAGTACATGCCTCTTTGTCTAATTTTGATCAGACAAATTTTAATCAATGAACTTACATACAGAGGTTATTAGTATTATTTTAGCATTAGACAGTGAAATGTTAAGTGTCACTGAGGTATAGTTGTCGCAAAGCAGTGTAAATTTTATCTTGGTATCATCAGACTTTGTTATATGTACAAGGTGTTTCCTTTGAGTATTGCATATATGCAAAATATTAAAATTAAAATCTGGGGGTCCCCGAACCGCGGCGGCCCCGAGCTCCCTCTGCTCGGCCATGGCCCCTTCGCCCCCGTGCAGGTCGCTGATGTCGCCGCTGCCCCCTTTTCTGCTGCTGCTCCTCGGTGTCGCACTGCTGGGTGCCCAGGCCCCCGCGGAGCCCGCTGCTGGGAGCCCGGTCCCCGCCCAGAGCCGCCCGTGCGTCCACTGCCACGCATTTGAGTTCATGCAGGGCGCCCTGCAGGACCTGCGGAAGACGGCCTACAGCCTGGACACGCGGACGGAGACCCTTCTGCTGCAGGCCGAACGCCGGGCCCTGTGTGCCTGCTGGCCAGCTGCCCGCTGAGGACCTACAGGCAGGCGCTGTCCCCTCACCAATTAACACCTGGCCCCTCCAAAAAAAAAAAAAAATTAAAATCTAATGAAAATGTGCTGAATGAGTTTTCTCAGTCTTTCACTAGGTTTATTGTTGTTGTTCTTAGGTGCCATCAATTCCAGTAAAACCCATAGCAACCCTATGAACAACCAATCTGAACATTGTCCTAGCCCATGCTAGCCTTACAATATCTGGAACACTCAAGCTCATGATTGTAGACTTTGTTGAAGGTCTTTTATCAACTATTGCTCCACCTTACCAAGCATGATTGTGGTCTTTAAGCTTTGTTGTTCAAAATAGATGCCCTATCCATTGACTAACTGTGCCATGTAAATGGGTGGGAATATTCAAATAGAGTATGCTAGCCTATCCATAAGAGGATTGGTGATTGTCACCTATTCACAAGAGGATTGTCTAGTCTTGTCAATTCAAATGGGGATTGGTTAGTCATGCCATTAAATTAAAAATTCCTTACCTCTAGCCAAGAAGAAAGAAGAGAATGTAATATGGATTGAAGTTCAATATCAAGAAAATAAAGATTTTTCACCACTGGGCCAATTGGAAGCATCTTGATGGATGGTGAAGAACTTGAGATTGTAAACATCTTTAGTTTGCTTGGCTTCACAATCAACACTCTTGGCACCAGCAGCCAGGAAATTAAAAGACATACTGTGTTGGAAAAGTGTGCTGTCAAAGAAGTCTCCAAAGTACTGGAGAGCAAGGATGTCCGTCTGGAAACTAAGATGCACCTGATATAGGTCATAGTCTTTGCAATCACATGTTCTGCATCTGAGAGCGAGACAATGACAAAAGATGATAGAAAGAGAATTGATGCCTTTGAGCTGTGGTGGTAGAAAAGAATATTTAATATACCATAGACTGCTAAGAGAAAGAACAGATTCATCCTGGAGAGGGTTAGGCCATGTTGATCCATGGAGACAAGATTCTGAAGCTTCATGTGATATAATTTGTACATGTTGCAAAGAAGACTCAGTCCTTAGGATCATCATGCTTGGGAAAGTGGAGGGACTATGCAGAAGAGAAATACCCCTGGGTTAAAGGAAGAGCTTCAGTGACTGGAGTAATGGGAGTAGGTGTGTAAGAAACAATAAGATTGGCCCAGGATAGAGCACAGTTTAGCGCTGTGGTACATAGAGTCACTATGAGATGCAGGAGATTCAATGTCACATAACTACAATAACAACAATATGTCCTTTATGTCCAGAGATTCTTACAACTATCAGATCAGAGCAATAGATGCTACAGCCATAGCAGCCACTGCAGCAGAGAACCAGAGATCTGATGTGAGACAGAGTGGGCCTTCAGACTGCTATCCTGTGAAATCATAACTACAGACTTTGTCCAAGTTTGCTGAACAAGTGAAGGTAGGATGGGAAGATCCATAACTGGCAGGACTGAGAGTTTTATGTTACCATCTATTAAAGGTTAATTAAGGTTAAAATGCGCTATAACTTGACTATCACAAATTTCTGTACTTTAAATATGCAGAATTTTCATAGTCCAATAATATGAGGGATTTAAAATAAAGTAGAATGGATTCACAGATGAGGGAGTGATTTGCACCCCACTTCCACTCTGCTGCCAGTACCTGGGATGGTGTGAAGCCCTGTAGAGAGATCAGCCTACCCTTTCGGACTTGAGAATGTCTGACTCTGAACCCCACCTCCCACTGCCACATCGGTCTGTTTGATTTCACAGGTGAGAGAGTGATTGTTTCCTCCCCCATCTCTCACCCCACCAACAGTTTCCAGGTGGGGGCAGAGCCCTGCAGAGAGACAAAAAAAATTTAAGAGATATCACCAATATACAAAATCCTGTGAAGACATTACCTGCTAGTACAAAAATAAACTCAAGGACCTGCAACTGAACTTTCTCACAGAGAGGAGAAGAGAGGTACCTAGGCCTTGAACTGCTGTCTAAGTTTATTTAATGGGATTTCTTAACTTCAAGCGGAAGAGGTCAGGTGGAGCCAGAGTGGATGGCAACAGTCATTGTTCATTGGTAAAATAAGAGGTGAGCACCAATATACAGGTTCTTCACATAACATGGTCATACCCTGTGGCATTATATAGTGACAACTACCTAACATCTGCTAAGACTCACATAATGTCAAGAGAGTGACAATGTGACTCAGTCAGCATGAAAAAAGCAAAATAACCTTTGTCCTTAGAAAGCAGATCCAATAAATACCCCAGATGGAGAGAACAAGAAAAATATGTTGATGTGCATCCATTAAAACAGCTACATAAGAAGATGCAAATGATGGAAGGAACAATGGAAGTCATCAAGAGAGCAACCAAGAGACATATAATGATGAAGAATAACTTGAACAACTATAGGAGAAAATGCAGAAGATGGAAGGAAGAACTGATAGTACAGATAAAGAGGTACAAGAACATAAAATAAATCATCACGAGGCAGAGAAAGTACAGCAAACATAGTACTGGAAGTAGAAGAAAAGCATAAAAATGCAATCCAGACTATTAAGAACAAAATGGCAGAAGTATCCCACACATTGTTAGAACAAAAAATATATAGCTGAAGAGTTGGAACAGAGACTTAGTGAGCTGGAAAACAAGAGCTTCACCTAACACTATGAGAAAAGAAAAAAAGAAGAGAGATGAGATGTAAAGAAAATTAAAAAGCATTAGAATCATGTGGGATGACATGAAAATGAATAACATCTGATTGAAATCTCAGAACAGGGGTGTGATAGGGATGTCTTTGAGAATATTGTGGAAGAAGTTCTTGAAGAAAACTTCCCAGTTACTATGAAGAACAATGAAATCCACATTCAAGAGGACAGTGAACACCAAATGAACTAGACCAAAAAAGAAAAATATCAAGAGGTATCATAATCAAATTCTCCAAATTAAAAGACAAGGATAGAGTACTAAAAAAGTAGTGTGAGCAAAAACAGACATGTAAGCAATTAGATTAAGTTCTGATTTTCAGCAAAACCATGTGAGCTAAAAGACAGTGGGATAGCATATAGAGAAAGTTGAAAGCAAACAAATGCCAGCCTAAAATTTTATACCCAGTTAAGATATCTATTAAATATGAAGGAGAAATTAGATCTTTTGCAGAAAAGAGGGAAGTTTAGGCATATAGAAAATAAGACCAAAACTGCAAGAAATTTTAAGTGCAATAGAGACACCAAAGGAAGGTGGATGGACCTTACCTATTAGTAAGCAGAAATGAGAGGGGGGGAAAAAATTGCAACAAAATAGCAGTGGTAAAACCTGGCCTGACAATAATCACACTTACTGTGAATGGAATAAATGTACCAATTAAGAGTAAAAGAGTAACAGAATGGATTATAAAACAAATCCCATCAATTTGTTGTCTACAAGACACACATAAAAAATGAGGATAAAGACTCAAATCCAAAGGCCAGGGTTGGGTGTGGGGGGAGGGATATACCAAGCAAATGGCAACCACAAAAAAAGAAGGAATGACAACACTAATTCTCTGATAAAATAGACTTCAGAATGAAAACCACCATAAAAGATTAGGAATGGCATTATATACAGATTAAAAGCACAATAGACCAAGAAGACATAGCCTTGGTCAACATTTATGTACCAAATGACAGACTTGCAAAATACAGAAAACAAGAATTGAAGAAAGAAATAGCATCATAATAGTGGTAGACTTTAGAACACCATTAAAACCAAAGGATAGGTAAAAAAGAAAGTTAGCAAAGATGAAAAATATCTACTATACATCAGGCAACTGGACACAGATAATTCAGTTAAGAAATTAGAGAGGTTACATCACAACAAAAATTAAGTTAAATGGATAATATCAGAATACTATGAAGAGTTATACTCTAATTAAAAACCTAGAGGAAATGGATTCCTTTATACCCATGCCCAATCCAAGTTGACCTGAACAGTCAAAGAAAACTTGAACACTTGAATAGACCTATCAAAAATGAGACCACAAAAGAAGAAATTGAACAGGTCATGAAAAAAGACTTTCCCATGAGAAAAGTCCTGACCTAGATGCCTTCAATTCTGCGGGGTCTGGGGTCCGGTGGCTGTCGTGTGAGGTGCCCAACTTCAGCCAGTCAGAGCCGAGCCTCTGTTTTGACCTTTCTGCCGGAAAGGATGTCACATGCTTCTGGCATCTCCGATTACCTGGGAAGATGGGGGGGGGGTTTCCTGCGGGGTCTCATGGCTGTCGTGTAAGGCGCCCAACTACTCATATGCAAATTCAAGCTAAAGCTGAGGAAAATGAAACCAAATCCGAGGCAACCAAAATATGACCTTGAGTCTATCCCACCTGAATTTC